ACCCTCAGTTACCCTACTTGCCCAAGCAGCCCTACCCCAAGCAGCCCTACCCTCAGTTACCCTACTTGCCCAAGCAGCCCTGCCCCAAGCAGCCCTACCCTCAGTTACCCTACTTGCCCAAGCAGCCCTACCCCAAGCAGCCCTACCCCAAGCAGCCCTACCCCAAGCAGCCCTACCCCAAGCAGCCCTACCCCAAGCAGCCCTACCCCAAGCAGCCCTACCCTCAGTTACCCTACTTGCCTAAGCAGCCTTACCCTAAGCTACCCTAATATTCGGTTATCTTCTATTTTAAGCTAAGCGCCTCACTTTATATAGCTTTTATACTAGCCATTTAAATCTATAGATTAAACCAACTAGCGTTTAATAAGCTAACATTAACTATATAAACAAGCCGGGACATTTTAATTTATAGATAGGGATATTTATATTAAAGATATAACCTATAGTTTAAAAATGCTATATATAGAATGCAACCTTAAGAATATATAGCCTGGATATTATAAATAGCTAATATAAAAGATTATAGACTTTAAGACTAGCTTAAGATAAGGGGGTATACTATAAGTATTTCCGCCTGGTTTACTGTATTAATTAAATCTATTATTAAATCTATTATATACTATTATAACTAAGAAATTAATTTAGTCTTCTGCCCTATTTACCTTTAAAATACAGCAGATGCTAAGGCCTAGTATTACCCAGCTGTATTATTATATCTTGCTTAATTACTTTATAACTAAAACGCCGATTTAATAGAGTTAGTGCTTAATATTTACGGGGAGTTAATGTATAATCTTCTAGATAAATGCAAAAGCTAACCTAATAAATAGGGAATTAAGATCCCTTGCCTTAAGGTCCTTGTAATTAAAGACCTCTGTATAGCGTATAAAATTAAGGGTAAATGTTTTAGCCCCTGCGCTAGCAGCTTTAATGCACTTTTACTTAATGTTTATAAGCTAGACCTTATGCCCTTTAAACGCAGGGTTAAAGAGGAAGTTAAAGAGTACTTCTAGCTTACTTTTATTATTAAGTAGGTTATTAAGACCCTTGTATTAAAGATTAAACTACTAGGTTAGATAATACTTAATTGCAATATTCTTAGGGATAGCTATATTTCCTTTAGGCTAGAGCATTATATTATTTATTAAAACTGCAATATCTTTAGACTTGCTGAATATTGCTTTTATTAGCAGCAGCTTACTATAAAGGTTAGCCTGGCCCTAAAGAAATAAGATACTAATGTATTAAATAGGAATAGGCATTGTTAGATTATATAAAAAAGAATAGAGGGCTGTAGGCAGGCAGGCGTAAGGCTATAAGGGGTATAATGCAGTAGCTAAGGTTAAATAAAGAAGAGAAGTATAAAGGTAAAAAAAAGAAGAGGTAAATATTTATAATATAGTAGAGGAACACTAGCTTATTTATGCATTTATGTTATTAATAGATAAAGCTGGCCTGTTTAATAAAGCATTTATTAAAGTGCTTTTATATAACTACTATAATAATATAACTATAAAGTAAGCCACCCTTTATCTAAAGCTAATGCTTTAATAGTTATTAATTTTATATAGGGGGATCTTTAGTAAGAACCCAAGACTAAAAAGCAATAATAAAATACATTAATCTAATAATATCCTCTATTAAAAACAAAGTAAATAAGTCCCTTTATCCTATTAAAGAAAAGCTAACTTAACCTAACCTTAAGTCTTATTAATAATACATTAGAATACTAGTATAGATATTTAATATAAGGCATTTTATCTACGCCATTCTATTCTATAAAACCCCAACACTAAATATAGTCTTCTTAATTTAGCTATATTTAATCTATAAACTAGGTTAGTAATTAACCTTAATAAAAAGTTAAAAAACCCTTTTACCTAAAGGCAGATAGCATGCTATACTTAATTACTTTATTACTAAGACTTTAATCTACAACAAATGCCTGTATATAATCCTCAGAAGCTGGTTCTCTATCTCTTAGATAAAGTTAAAGGCTAATTTAAAAAAAAGGGATCCAGGATCTTTTTCTTTAAGGTTTTTATAGCCTAAGGGTATAATATACTGCAAAGCCTCTACTTTAAATGCCCTAAGCTTTAGGCTTGCTCCTAAAGACAGCCTTTGCTTAATATCCACAAGCCAAATATTGCATTCTTTAAAAGCATAGTTTAATAAAATATTAATAAATACTCTTAAGCTACCTTTATTATTAATAAAATTATTAAAAGTTTAATGCTATAGATTAAAAAGCCAGGCTAGGTGGAACTTAATAGTAATGTTTTTTAATAGCATAAGATCTATATCCTCCAATATCTAGGCTACGCTGCCAATAAAGACCACTAATTTACTAGATTTGCCTAATACTGCATTTATATTTAGTTATTTACTGCATAAGTTAACAGAGCCCTATAATAAGCTAGTATCAACCTATTAACCCTAAAATTATTATAAATATAAGGAGAGAGAATGGTATTGTAGATAGTTGCAATCTATAGATTAAAGGGGGGGGGGGGGTAAATAAGGCTTTTTAATCTATAGATTAGATAATATTAAAGGAGGAAGAAGGTAAAAGAGAAAACAAGCTTTTTATAATATAGAGAAGAAATCTAGATTATATAGATCTCTGAACTATAGATTGCAAATGCCTAAACTGCGCCCATCTGCAACGCCTGGCAGGCGCCGTCTAATACAATCTATAGGCAGGGAGGTCTTATACAGGCATCTAAACTATAGTTTAATCTTAATAACCCTAAAGGCAACCTACCCTAATAACCCTTATCTTAAGATTGCAACTGCTAGCAGCCCTAGAAGTGCAGGCAGTAAAGGTTAAGTAATACTGCAAGTCTAGCCTATTTCCTGCATAACTTACTTATATTAAAGGCTATATTATAACTTTATCCTTACCTCTATATATAACATTAGTCCTATAACCTTAATATTATAAAATACTTATTACATCCTTGCCCTAATATAACCCGCCTATATATACTATATACTATATTAAAGACTAAGACTGTTATAAAACACCCTATATTTATTAGCACCTTGCCCTATATGCCCGGCTAGCCTAGACTATATATCTAACTGCTTTACTAGCATAAGCTATTTAATATATAACTATAACGCTAATAGGCAGCAGCAATATTCTTAAGTTCTATAGCAGGGTTTAAATTATATTTTAAATAAAAGTAAATACTAAAGCAATTAAAGGGATATTTAAATCTTTAAGCTTTAAGTCTAGGTTACTATAGACCTCTATATAGCAGTTAAGTCTAACCCAGAACCGCTTAATGCTATAGAGAACTTCCTTTATTATAGGGCTTATTTACTCCCGCTCTATATCTATAACCCAGAAGCTATAATAATAAACTCCAGGGCTTAAGAGTATATTAAAGAATTATTAAATTACAGGGTTGCTATCTTTATTTATAATCTCTTTAAAAGTTATATACTAAAACTTAAGTATAGAAGTTAGTTTAAACTTAAAGATTTTATTACCCTTTATAAAGAAAATAAGCTGCTGCAGTAAAGTTAATGCAGCCTTATAAAATATATAGAGAATAGAATCCTTTAAATTATTAATAATAATATTTATAGCTAGTGTTATTCTTTATATAAAGTTAATAAAGTTAAAGCAAAACTATACACTAACTCCTAAAAGAAGCTTTTATCTATTTTTGCTTAAGAGATATTATAATAGGTAAAGTAGTTTACTGGCTGTTTTAATCTATAGGTTAAAGGCAGGCTAATAAAGGAAGAAGGAAGGAAGGAAGGAAGAAAGGAAAGAAGAGGAAGAGGGAGAAGTTCTTTATAAGCCCTCAGGCAGCCGACATTGGTTACATAGATTAGGCATAACTTCCATTTACTAGTCCATTTATAAGAAGAGGTTAAAGGGGCCTGAACTATAGATTATAATAGCTGGAAATAAGCCTAGTATTTAAAAGTTAAGCAAAAGAGTATTTTACTTAACTACCAGCAGCAGAGAACCTAATTAATAAACTATAGCAGTCAGCAGTATCTTATAGTAAAATAGAAGATTAAATCTAAATAATTTGCTTTATTATTTATACTCTAGAGTAAAGATAATAAATAGTTAACTGCCAGAAGCCTAATTTAAGCCTTTAAAATAAAAAATGCAGTGCAGCTGTTTTAATCTACAGTCTAGATTTAAACTATAGGTTAAAACGGCTATATATAAACCCCTTTCTTTATTAAAAAAAATATCCTTAAACCTATATTAGCTGGAAAATATATAAGTTCTATTTCTCCTTCTGTTACTATTAAATAAATAGAAAAGAGGATAAAAAACCTTAGCCTATAGTATAAGGCTTTTTACTTTTAAAACTCTATAATGTCGCTAGTTAAAACCTTTTATTTCTTCTCCTAATGTTAACCTTAAAGAGGAAGGCTGCAGTTAAGCTAGTAACCTTAGTTATTAAGCCTAATGCTAGAAGAGCAATAAAAAATATAATTAATAAGTCTAGAACAACAGTCGCTAGTACTAATGCCCTGCAGAGCTTGCAGGCTAACTCTATAGAGATCTTAAATAATGCTAACAGTAATAAAAATCTTTTTAATATAGAGGATGCTAGTAAGGAGGCTGATATTAGTAAGGGCATAGAGTTAGAGTTATTAGCTAATAGCTTATAGAACCTTAAAAAAGATAATGTAAATAATAGCAAGTTTAATGCTAAGGGTATATCCCCCTTTTTTAGTAAGCTACTGTACAGCAATAAAATTATTAACATTACTGCCTTGCTTTAATAGTAGCTAAAGTTATAAATACTATTATATATGTTAGATATTTTAATCTTTATATAGTTATACTTCTATTATCTTTATTATCTCTATTATCTCTATTATCTCTATTATCTTTATTATCTTTATTATCTCTATTATTTCTATTATCTCTATTATCTTTATTATCTTTATTATCTCTATTATCTTTATTA